GCATGCAAGGCAAGCACTCTACCATTGAGCCACCTTCCCAGCTCCGAAAAATTGGATTTTTCACCAGGCACCAATGTCTCACGCCTGTCACCCCAGCTACTCAGAGGGCTGAGATCTGAAGATCACGGTTCAAAGGCAGCCCAGGCAGTAAAGCCCATGAGACTCATCTCCAATGATCCAGCAGAAAACTGGAAGTGGCGCTGTGGTTCAAGTGGTAGAGCGCCAGCCTGAAGTGAAAGAGCCCAGGGACAGCACCCGGGCCCCGAGTTCAAGTCCTAAAACCAGCAAAAAAAAAAGGAAGAGAAAGAGGGAAAACAGGAGGAGGAAGGAGAGAAGAGGATCTCATATTCATTAAAAGAACCAAGGAGGAGCTGGTGGCTAGGGGGACGCAGGCCGCACGCATCATCCTCCAGCACCTCCTGGGCCTGGGAACAAACAGGAAGCCTGCTCCAATGTCCAGCGACAGCCTTGGACAGCACAGTGCTGGGACTCTTGTCCAGCCCGCCCAGCCAGACATCACGAGGAAGGGTTTCCCAAGGCAAAACAGAATAGGGAAAGCCAGTCCTGTGTGTGATCCTTCCTGCTCAGCAGAGCTCAGCTGACATTGTTGGAAGGCATCCTCCTGAACCTTAGAACTCGAACATGAGGAAGTCTCTGGAAATGTATGTGTGTGTGTGTCATGCACACACGCGTGCCAATCCTGCAGCTTGAACTCGGGGCCTGGGTGCCGTCCCTGAGCTTTTAGTTCACTCAAGGCTGGCGCTCTACCACTTGAGCCGCAGCTCCACCTCTGCCTTTTTGGTAGTCCATTGGAGATAAGGATCTCACAGGGTGTCCTTTCCCCCGGGCTGGTTTTGAACCACAATCCTCAGATCTCAGGCTCCTGGGTAGCCGGGATGACAGGCGTGAGCCACCGCGCCCGGCTTGAAATGGCTTTTTTAGAGCATCCTGCCGGGCATGGGACCACTGGTGTGGGCCTCTTGTAGCTTGAATTGAAATCTATGGGTGGAGACACACCCTGAAGCTCACACACACGTGCACACAGGCGTGTGCACACACACACACGGGTCAACAGGAGAATGAGAAATCCCCGTTTTCACCCTGAAACGCAGCCATGGCCGAAGAATCGGGCTAGGCGTGTCCCTCGGCCCCTCCGGGCGTTTTTATAGGCCGGGCCGGGTCTGGGTGAGGCTGGCACCGCTTCCGCCCATTTGGGCAGAGATTAAAGAAGGGGAGTCACGGCTCCTCTCTCACTCACACCGAGCAGCCTCCGCCTCGCGTGGACACAGGTGAGTTGGGGTGCCGGCCTTGCCAGCTCCCAGGCAGGGGCCACCGACCCAGGGCGCAGGGGTCAGGAAGGCCAGGGGAGGGGGGCTGGCATGCGGCTCTGGGTGCTGATTTGGGGTTACCCAAGGCAGGGGGGACGGGGTGGCCAGGCCGGCTGGACTCCAGGCTGCCCCTCTGGGTGCTGAGGGTCATTTAGTGCCTGCCACCCGAGCTTCCTGAATACACAATACCGTGTGTTTGCCTTCTGAGGAGAGAATCAGGTGGGAAAACAGGTGAACTTCCCACCCTGCTGACAAGTCGGGGTCACCTGTGTTGCCAGTTCCCCTCTCTGAGGGCCGCCTGTATGCGTCTCTGGTTTTCTCAGCCCCTAAGGAAGCGTGGTATTTAAACAGTATCAGAGCCGGGCACCGGTGCTCAGGCCTGTCGTCCCAGCTACTCAGGAGGCCGAGCTCGGAGGATCAGGGTTGAGCCTGGGTGGAAAAGTCTGTGAGACTCTGATCTCCAAGGAACCACAACCAGCCAGACCTAGAACTGTGGCTCAAGTGGTAGAGCGCCAGCCTTGAGCACAAAGGCTAGCGACAGAGCCCAGGCCCTGAGTTCAAGCCCCAGGACTGGCACAAATAAATAGGTATTGCCAGGCACTAGTGGCTCACGCCTGTCATCCTAGTTAGTCAGGAGGCTGAGATCTGAGGAGCTCAGTTCAAAGCCAGCCTGGACAAGAAAGTCCATATGATTTATCTCCAAGAAATTATAAAAAGCCATAAGTTGGGGCTGGGAAGGTGGCTCAGTGGTAGAGTGCTCACCTAGCATGTGTGAAGACCTGGGTTCGATTCCTCAGCACCACATACACAGGAAAAAGCCAGAAGTGGAGCTGTGGTTCAAGTGGTAGAGCGCTAGCCTTGAGCAAAAGCATCTCAGGGACAGCGCCCAGGCTCTGAGTTCAAGCCCCAGGACTGGCACCAAGTAGATATCAGAAGTCAAACAAGATGTAACTTGAAGCTGGGTGCCGGTGGCTCACACCTGGCATCCCAGCAATTCAGGAGATCTGAGGATCGTGGTTCAAAGCCAGCCCGGGCACGAAAGTCCATGAGACTCTGATCTCCAATGAACCACTAGAAAACCAGAAGGGGCGCTGTGGCTCAAGTGGTAGAGCGCCAGCCTTGAGTGAAAGAGCTCAGCGACAGCGCCCAGGCCCTGAGTTCAAGGCCCAGGACTGGCACCAAATCAACCTCAAGAGTTAAAGAAGAACGCAGGATGTGCGTCTGCCACAGTGTCCCCGGGGCATCCGATCCTTTGAGATGCGGGTGTCTCCATCCAGGTTGGGAGAAGAGCTGATGCCCAGGCCCTGGGCACACACCCCACCCCAGGCCGCACCAGGCCCCCCCTGGACTCGGGCTGGGCCTTATCCCGCCCATCTGTTTTACGCAGGGAACCGGAGCGCGCCCCACCCGTTGGCCGCCATGTTCGAGGACTGCGTGAAGTCCACCGAGGAGCACTACCTGTTCTGTGACGATGAGGGGCCCTGGGCCGTGGTCCTGGAGTCCCTGGCGGCCATCGGCATCGTGGTGACCATCCTGCTCCTCCTGGCCGTCCTGTTCCTGCTGCGGCGCGTGCAGGAGTGCGCGCGCTGGAACGTGCTCCCCACGCAGTTCCTCTTCCTGCTGGGGGTGCTGGGCCTCTTCGGCCTGGCCTTCGCCTTCATCCTGCCGCTCAGCCACCGCACGGCGCCCGTGCGCTTCTTCCTCTTCGGCGTCCTCTTCGCGCTCTGCTTCTCCTGCCTCTTGGCCCACGCGTCCAACCTGGTGCGCATGGCGCGCAGCTGCGGCTCCTTCTCCTGGCCCACGCTGCTGGCCATCGCCGTGGGCCTGAGCCTGCTGCAGACGGTGCTGGCCATCGAGTACGTGACCCTGGTGACCACGCGCGGCCCCACCTTCGAGCGCATGACCCCCGAGCAGCTCAACGTGGACTTCGTGGCGCTCACGGTCTACGTGCTGCTGCTCCTGGCGCTCACGCTCTTCGTGGCCAAGGCGGCCTTCTGCGGGCCGTGTGAGCGCTGGCGGCGGCCCGGCCGGCTCATCTTCGCCACGGCGCTCGTGTCCGCCGTCATCTGGGCCACCTGGATCGCCATGCTCACCCGGGGGAACCCGCAGCTGCAGCGGCAGCCGCACTGGGACGATGCTGTAGTCTGCATCGGCCTGGTCACCAATGCCTGGGCCTTCCTCTTCATCTACATCATCCCCGAGCTCTGCCTGCTCTACCGGGCCTGCCGCCAAGACAGCCCCGCCCCGGCTCACACCTGCCCTGCCCCGGTCTACCAGCGCGGCCTGCGGATGGATAACCAGGAGCTATCCCGAGGTAATGAGCCCCCCCCCCACCTCCCAGATTCAGAAAAGAAGGGCAGGCAGAGACCAGAGAGAAAACACAGGGCGCAGGACAGCAGGATGGACTACAAAGGAAGGGTCAGCTTTGGAGGAACTTCATGGTTCAAGCTGGGAGCCGGCCACTGGTGGGCACAGCTATAATCCCAGCTACTTTGGAAGCCGAGGACCAACGTTCAAAGTCAGGCTGGTGGGAAAGGTCCGGAGACTCTGATCTCCAATGGACCATTAAAAAATAATAATAATGGGCTGGGCAGGTGGCTCAGTGGTAGAGTGCTCGCCTTGCATGCCTGAGGCCCTGGGTTTGATTCCTCAGTATCACATAAGCAGAAAAAGCTGGAAGTGGCGCTGTGGCTCAAGTGGTAGAGCACCAGCCTTGAGCTGAAGACCTGAGGGACAGTGCCCAGGCCCAGAGTTCAGACCCCACGACTGACACATAAAATAATAATAATAATAATGATAATAATGGGGGCTGGGCAGGTGGCTCAGTGGTAGTTTGCCTCATATGCATGAGGTCCTGGATTCAATTCCTCAGCACCACATACACAGAAAAAGCCAGAAGTGGCACTGTGGTTCAAATGGTAGAGTGCTAAGTCTTGAACAAAAGCAGCTCAGGGACAGTGCCCAGGTCCTGAGCTCAAGCCCAGGACTGGCAAAATAAATTAAGGTGGAAGTGGAGCTGTGGTTCAAATGGTAGAGCAGGAGCCTTGAGGAAAAAAAAGCAAAAACTCAGGGACAGTGCCCAGGCCCTGAGTTCAAAGCCCCAGAACCAGCACACACACACACACACACACACACACACACACACACACACATACGCACGCGCAGAATGAAGGTTAAATTTTTATGAATAAATAAATGACATTTTCCAAAGCACAGAAGCTTTATGGAGAAAAGCCAAGAAAGAAATGAGTCAAAGGCCCCGAATAAATAAGACGTGACTTCTAAAGTGCTCAAGCTACCCTCCCCCCCAAAAAAAGAGGCACCCACAAAATAATGAGCCTAACCCAGCCCCAAATTAGGCTTGGCCTGTCCAGTCATCGGACATCAAAGCCCAGCCCGGGTGTCTCTGCTGGGCCTTGGAGCCCAAAAGCCAAAGACTTTTGGAGTCTCCAAGCTAATTTAAGCGAGCATCGCTTTAAACCAGCTTGCAAGAGTCTGACCTCCAACAGAGGTCACAGCCCGCCACCCCCAGCTCTGCTTCGCAGGGGATTTGCTTTGCTCTTGGCAGTCTTGCTCAAGGTTTTAAACGACAAGCAACCCCTCATCTAAATTCCCAAAGAAAGCCCCGGATGGTGGGATGATGGAGACTCCCAAGGCAACGCAGCCCATGCGTGCGTGGGAATTTCCAGGTCACACCTTTGCCCACGAGGAATTCCACACCAACCTGGCTCTATTTTGCTCGGGAATGTCTTATTCGTGGACACAGATGCTGCGGCCTCCCTCCCCCCGCCCGCACCTTGCAAACCGGGTGAAATCAGTTCATTTCACTCATCTGGGAATATATCAGACCTCATTAACACACTTTCTGAACCCCCTCCTGGATTATCCTCAGGCCAGAGTGGTAGTTTATGTCCTTTTCAGGGTCTGTAACAGGCGAATGATGTCTTGCATTTTAGTGTTGCTATGTAATGGCGATGTTCCTTTATTTATTTATATTTTTTCAATAATTTTTTCTCTTTAATTTTTTAAGTTTGTGTACGTGGCACTGAGGAATCAAACCCAGGGCTTCATGCATGCTAGGCAAGCACTCAGCCACTGAGCCACATTCCCAGCTCTGGTAGTCTTTTTTAATTTTTTGGTCCTAGGTCTTGAACTCAGGACCTGGGCGCTGTCCCTGAGCTCTTTCACTCAAGGCTGGTGCTCTACTACTTGAGCCACAGCGCCACTTCCAGTTTTCTGGTGGTTCATTGGAGTTAAGAGTCTCATGTACTTTCCTGTCCGGGCTGGCTTTGAACCACAATTCTTAGATCTCAGCCTCCTGAGTAGCTGGGATGACCAGCGGGAGCCACCAGTTAGCCCTGATCTTCTTTTGCCTAGTATTTGGCACGCATCATAGTCAAAATTTTCATATGAGCTTTCCTTATAAGCGAGCGTATGCTACAACAAATCGCCTACCCAGGTGAAGTTCAGTTTAGATAAAGTCAGCCACTGGTCCTTGTCGGTTTTGTTGATCGGGCCCAGGACCTTGGTGTCCTGCCTGTAAGATGTGTTCCGTGCTTGCCGGCCAGAGAGTCAGTCATCTTTCTTGAGAATTCTTTCCATAGTTCTGACTGGAAAAGAGGACCAAGTGGCTGAGTGTAACCAGCATTGGGCTGGTTACAGAGCCGGGTACCTGTGGCTCACACCTGTCTTCCCAGCTACTTGGAAGGCTGCGATCTGAGGATCTCAGTTTGAAGTTAGCCTGGACAGAAAAGTCCGTGAGATCCTTATCTCCAGTGAACCACCCAAAAGCCAAAAGTGGAACTGTGGCTCAAGCGGTAGAGCACCAGCCTTGAGCACAAAAGCTCAGGGACAGCATCCAGGCCGAGTTCAAGCCCCAGTATCAACATTTTAAAAATACACTATAATAAAAAGGTGCAGGGCTTGGGCAGGTGGCTCAGTGGTACAGTGCTCACCTAGCATGCACGAAACCCTGAGTTTGATTCTTCAGTACCACATATACAGAAAAAGCTGGAAATGGTGCTGTGGCTCGAGTGGTAGAGCGCTAGCTTGGAGCAAAAGAAGCTCAGGGACGGTTCCCAGGCCCTGAGTTCAAGTCCCAGGACTGGCAATATCAATAATAATAACAATAGTAATAATAATAATAATGTGCAGAATTGCACCTTGTTAGCAAAACGTACACATAGCTAGGAAATAAGAATTGGGCCTAGCAACATCTGGAATGTTCTGTGGGTCTTGAGCAGACAGGGCCGAGCCGCTTGGACTGCGTCGTGGTCAGGAGGGTGCGGTGGGCAGACCATCCGCGTCGCCTGTCTGTCTGCCTGTCTGTCCATCCGTCTCTTTGCCCTGCCCCGATCGCACGGTGTTGTGCTGAGTTCGACTCTGTCAGCATGCCGTGGGCACCCATGACCCACCTGGTCTAGCCGTGTCACAGTGGCTAGGCCTCGTCCTGGGCCACCCTGGGCCAGCTGGGTCATGGCACCTGCCGGGCGGGGGTCTTGGGGTAATCAGGGACACGGGAGATGGTGGACAACGCCGCTGGACGATTAAGATTTCCATTTCCTAGAAATCTAAGCCGCCCCTCCCCGGAGCGGCTGACAGACTTAATCCTAAGAGATTGGAACATCTGCTCCAGGGCGATAAATGCCATCACTGCGGTCACCGAGCAGCCGGGGGTGAACACCCCGGGCCTGGTGTGGGAAGGTCCCCCGAGACGCCATGGGCGACTTGGATCCGCTGCTCTGCCCCAGAATCTCCAGCCACAGACAGACAGACGGACATGCATCTCTAGCACCCATGAAGCCCCGGGTTCCATTCCTCAGCACCACATACACAGAAAAAGCCAGGAGCGGCACTGTGGCTCAAGTAGTAGAGCGCCAGCCGTGAGCCAGGGACAGCGCCCAGGCCCTGAGTTCAAGTCTCAGGACTGGCAAAAAAAAAAAAAATCAGCTCAGCCTCCCACCACGTTTCCTAGCCAATACCAACTTCTTGCCGATTCTCCATGTTTGGTTTTCCTCAGGGCCCCTCGGCCTTACCAAAGAGACCCAAGTGGGGGACTAGAGGCGTGGTTCAGGCGGTAGAGGGCCAGCTATGGAACTTGAGTGTCAGGTAGCAAGTTCAAGTCCTAGTCTGGGGGTGGTGGGGAGAGGGAGGGAGGGAGAGAAGGAAAGGAAGGAGAGAAAGAGGAGGGGAAGGAAGGCAGGCAGGCAGGCAGGCAGGCAGGCAGAAGGGCCCTAGGTTCGGGGCACTGTGTAGTTCTAGCACGTTTTCCCCCGGAAGCCCTTGTTTCACTCTCTGGAGTTCCGTGGGCCCCGTGGCGGTTGGGAGGCCGGATGTGAGGGTCAGGGACAAGGAGGAGGCGTTGTGGTTCTGATCCAGGCAGGCAGGAGAGTTTGGCTCAGGTCTGTGCTGAGCTACTGGAGGCCTAGGGCACTGTGGCATGCTTACACTGGAAGGAAGGATCTAGAATCTCTTCACCATGAGGAAGCAGTGGGTGTCTGGGGACGCGGGTGTATTTCCACCCCTTGTGTGTGTACACATCTGGAGACGCATCTGCTGACCTGTGACTGGATGGCTATGAGATTCGAACCCAGGGCCCAATGCTTGCCAGGCAGGAGGCCCTAGTGCATGAGCCTCACTTCAGGCCGCCTGTGTGGTTCCAGGGAAGAGGGGGCCGGCAGGGGCAGCGGCAAGCGCAGAGCTGGCCGCGGGTTGGGGCTTTGAGGCTCAGCTCTGCATGTCACAAACGCCCCGCCAGACCCAGCGCCCCAGCCTCCAGGAGCCTGTGGTCACAGCCGGGCACCAGTGGCTCACACCTAATTCCAGCGACTCAGGAGGCTGAGATCTGAGGATCGCCGTTCAAAGCCAGCCCAGGGCAGGAAAGTCTGTGAGACTCTTATGTCCAATGAACCACCAGAAAACCAGAAGTAGTAGAGCAACAGCCTTGAACAAAAGAGCTCAGGAACAGTGCCCAGGCCCCAAGTTCAAGGCCCAAGACCAGCAAAAAAAAAAAAAAAAAATTCACTGCCCGGCCTGTGTTCCAGGCTATCCCATCCACCGCCCGGCCTGTGTTCCAGGCTATCCCATCCACCGCCCGGCCTGTGTTCCAGGCTATCCCATCCACCGCCCGGCCTGTGTTCCAGGCTATCCCGTCCACCGCCCGGCCTGTGTTCCAGGCTATCCCATCCACCACCCGGCCTGTGTTCCAGGCTATCCCCGTGCTCAGGCCGACACCCCACAATCCCCGACACTAACCCAGGCCTTCCTCCCCGCTTTGGCTTGCAGCCCGAGACAGCGAAGGAGCTGAGGAGGATGTAGCCTTAACCCCCCATGGCGTCCCCCTCCAGCCGCAGGTAAATGCCCCCATTCGCCCTCCCAGGAGGGGCCAGCCAGCCCTCAGGATCCAGAGACAGACAGACAGACAGAGAGACAGACAGAGAGTGCACAGGCAAGGCAGCTCCACCCCCAGATCCTGCGGTACTTGATCCATCCCAACTCAAACCCCACAAGACACAAGGCGCCCCCCCACCTTCATCCGGCACAAACGCCACGCTTTCCACCGCCTCCACTGATGCAGAGCACAGGGTGGGGGAGGGGGGACTCACGCCTGGCATCCCAGCCACTCAGGAGGCTGAGATCTGAGGATCGAGGTTCAAAGCCAGCCCAGGCAGGAAAGCCCGTGATCCTCTGATCTCCAATGAACCACCAGAAAACCAGAAGTGGAGCTGTGGCTCAAGGGGTAGAGAACCAGCCTGGAGTGAAAGAGCTCAGGGACGGCACCCAGGCCCTGAGTTCAAGCCCCACAACCGACCCCACCCCCCCAAAAAAAGAAGCTTGTTAATGAGCAGTTGGGTTCGTTGGGCTCCAGACCCCAGGAACCCACAGGGGATTGACTGACAGGGAGTGAGTGCTGCGTTCTAGAAGCTTCTCAAGAGCGGGGACACTTCTACACATGCCCAGAGTGTACCTCCATCCGAACCCCCTCCTCTCTCCCCTCCCCTCCCCTCCCCTTCCTTCCCTCTCCTCCCCACTTCTTTGGTTTATTTTGCTTGCCAGTCATGGGGCCTGAACTTTGGGCCTGGGTACTCACTGTCCCTCAGCTCTTCAGCTCAAAGTTAGCGCTCTACCACTTAGCACCACTTCCAGCTTTCTGCTTATGTGGTGCTGAGGAATCGAACCCAGGGCTTCGTGCATGCACGGCGAGCGCTCTACCACTGAACCGCCTTCCTGGCCCTCCCCACTTCTTAAAACAATGTCAGCGGGTGTTTTTCTATTTGCCACATGCACACCAAGTGAACGGTCACCTTTGTCCTGCCCCTGCCCACTGCACAGCGGAGCCGGTGCCTGGGCCCCATGATGTGCTCCACCAGCACGTGTGGACTGTGTACAGGATCCGAGTGCACACGTGTGGGGGGATCTGTGTGCACACGCATGTGGACTGCGTACAGAATCTTGTGCACATGCATGTGGACTTGCACAGAATCTATGTGCACACGCATGTGGACTGCATACAGAATGTGTGCACATGCATGTGGACTTGTACAGAATCTGTGTGCACATGCATGTGGACTTGTACAGAATCTGTGTGCACATGCATGTGGACTGCATACAGAATGTGTGCACATGCATGTGGACTTGTACAGAATCTGTGTGCACACACATGTGGACTGCATACAGAATGTGTTCGCATGCATGTAGACTGCATACAGAATCTGTGTGCACATGTATCTGTACAGGATCCATGTGCACACGTGTGTGGACTGTGTATGGGATCCATGTGCACACGTGTGGACCGTATACAGGATCTGCGTGCATGGAGTCTATAAGCTCATCTATAGTTCTCATTCCTTCTGGAAGTTTCCTATCCTCATACATCAATGCAATCGATTTCCATGACTCTCTTCCTTTCTCCCAACCCCTCTTACAGTCCCACGGACATGTGACAAGACAGACAGACAGACAGGAGAAAGAGAGAGACAGAGGAAGAGAGACAGGCAGACAGACAGACAGAGACAGAGGGGCAGGGACAGGCCGCGGACAGACAGAGCGACAGCCCGCGGGGAGCGCATGCGCGCTGGACGTGGGCCTCTGCTGGCTGGGCTGACCTCGTGTGCATTTCCTCCTCCGCAGACTGCTGAGCCCTCGCAGGGCCAACTCCTCCCCAGGACCGCCCTGAGCGTGGACGCGGCCGTGTGAGCTGACCCTGCCCCGTGGACCCCAGACGGACCCCCGCCTGGCCAGGCCCCTCGGACCCCAGCGACCCCCACCCAGCCAGGCCCCTCAGACCCCAGCGACCCCCCCACCCGGCCTGGCCCCTCGGACCCCAGCCCCCACCCACCCCGGCCCCCCACACCGATTACAACCCTGCTGCCCTGGCCCCGGCTCCACGTCTTTCTTCACCCACGTCGCTCGCAGGTGGTGTGGGGGGAACAGGGGAGGTAGGGGGGCCCCAGCCTGAGCACACCGCCACGTGACAGCCCCGTGACATGGGGGCCACATGAGCGGACCCTCCTCCTGTTAGCTTTTAACCACACGGAAAATATGTGGGTGACAAAAGTTGACCACTGAGGGGCACTGGTGCTCAAGCCTGGCATCCCAGCCACTCAGGCGGCTGAGATCTGAGGATCGCGGTTCAAAGCCAGCCTGGGCAGGAAAGGCCATGAGACTCTGATCTCCAAGGACCCACCAGAAAACCACAAGTGGCGCTGTGGCTCAAGTGGTAGAGCGCCAGCCTTGAGCTGAAAGAGCTCAGGGACAGCGCCCAGGCCCTGAGTTCAAGTCCTAGAATTTGGCACACACACACACACAACTTGGTTAACTGAGGGCGATGGTGGGACAGGAAGGAAAGGAGGAAGGAACAGCAGGTGCACAGAATGCACGTGGGAGGATTGAGGCAGGCTGTGTGTGTGTGTGTGTGTGTGTGTGCGCGCGCGCGCACACGCGCACGTGCACACAGGGCCTCTGTCCCATTTGGCCAAAGCCCTAAGTATGAGCTCATGCACAGACCAGCCCCTCAACGCTCTACCCAACTCCCACCACAGCTCTGGGACCTCTGGCTCCGCTGGGCGGACTCTGGGGCTTGGAAAAAGGGGAACCAAAAGAATAGAGAGTGGGTCCATATAGCCCCCCACGCTCCCCCAAATAAAGCCCCCAGGGGACCCGCAGGGAGGGGCTGGGCCGGGCTGGGGGGGGGGCGGGCTGGGCCATCTTGGTGTGGTGACAGTGGCTTCAGAACTCTGGTCTCAGCCGCTGCCCAGCCGCTGCGCCCGCTGCTCAGCCAGGGCTGTTTCGCGTTCCTTCTGAAACTTTTCTGCGCATGTCATCCAGTTTTCTGGTGGTTCATGGAAGACCAGAGTCTCAACAGCAGTGTCCTGCCCCGGGCTGGCTTTGAACCTCGACCCTCAGATCTCAGCCTCCTGAGTGGCTGGGATGACAGGCGTGAGCTTTACCTGATCCCAGAAAGGAGGCAGGAGGTGGGAAGGAGGGGGGCAGGAAGGAGAGGGGCAGATGGTTCCCAGCCCTTCGGGCACCCCTAGGAATGAAGGAGGAGACCAGAGCCTTCATTTCACAAGCACAGGTGCTGCCTGTGGACGGGCGGGCGGGCAGGCAGGCGGGTGGGTGGGCAGGAGGGAGGGCAGGAGGGAGGGCTCCTGCACACCCCACAGAGGCCCGCAGAAGCTGGGACTGGCGCTGGCTTCCACCGGGTAAAGCTCAAGGCTGGGCTTTACCGCCACCCAGTGGCCATGTCAGGCACAGCAGCCCAGAGGCGGGTGGAAATCTGAGACCTTGGAGGGGAGAAAGCCTGCCTGACCGCCCCAGGCTCTGTTGGGGAGGCTGGGATTGGGAGGATCACTATTTGAGCCCAGGGGGGGAGGGGTGCAGGAATTGAGTGAGATCCCAGCTCAACCAACAAGAAGCGGGGCGCCGTGGTAGCGCCTGTAACCCATCTAATGAAGTCAGCCTCAACTGGGAGGGTCGCCGGCCAAGCCGGCAAGGAGATCTTGCTGCAAAAATGTGAGTGGGGGGTGTGGCTCAAGCAGTCGAACACCTTCCCGGCAAGGGTGAGGCTGTGAGTTCAAACCCGGATGATGTGCGTTGCGTGCGCACGCGCGTGTGCACACACACACACACACACAGGTGCGCAGTGGGGAAACCTGCCCACCCCCAAGGGACATGGGGCCAGGTCCTGACGCATCCACACTGCGATCGGAGGCTCAGCAACACGCCCCATGCCTTTATTGCAGACCTAGAGGGTGACAGCACCGCGTGGGTGAGTGTGTGACCTGGTGGAGGCAGGGAGGCCAGGCGGGTGGAGGCTCGGCCGGGCTGGGTGTGCTGTGGCCAAGCTGAGGTCACTCCTGGCACTGACCACGCAGGCTTGTGGGCGCCGGACACCCTTCAGTCACCGGTGACAGTGCAGACAGTCTGGCCCTGAGTCTCAGATACCACCGTGCGGTGAGGATCTGGGGTGAGGCCTCTCGGGTCCAGCGCCCACGTGGACGGTGGGCCATCCCTGTGACAGTGGTCCCCAGGGCTCGATGTGCACCCCGGGACACGGGCCGGCTGTGCAGCCGGCGGGCTCAGCGGCCCCCCTTCCGGCCGTCGTAGTCGGTGTAGGGGCTGCCGGGCCAGGCCTGGGCCCGGGGGATGGAGAACTCCTGGGCAGGGGTTCGGTCCTAAGAAGGGAGAGACCACACGGTTCATCCTGCCCAGCCCTGGCCTCCGTGGGTGTCCACGGAATCCCAGCCCGGCCACCCCACCCCACGGCAGCCTGGCTTCCTGGGCGCGTGGACCATCACCTGCAGCTGGAAGTGGGTGGAATATGGGGCGTGGGGCGAGGCACCCGGCTCTGGCGGACCTGCGGAGGGAGAGGAGACGCATGGGAGCCCAACCCGGCCGGTCACTCCTCACACGTGACCACCCCATACATACGGGGTCCATCAGCAAACCGGGAGATTCAGCCCTCAGGGCTGCAATCGGAAGCAAGGCCGGCTGCAGGAATGAATGAACGAATGACAGCAGACACTTGGACTAATGAATGAAGCATAGGGTCTCGGCTGGGGGTGATGCCAACGGCATGAATGAGTGACAGCCGAGTGAATGGATGAATGAATGAATGACACGTCCCCCGGGACCCGGAGGAGGCGCACTCCAGCACCGCCTGCCCACAAGGCCACTCCAAGGGTGCATGGGAGAAGTCTGCTCAGGCTGAGCAGGGCAGCTCACGCCTGTAACCCCAGCTGTCCAAGACGGGTGAGGAGAATCACAAGAGCTCAATCCCAGCAGCTCTCACACAGAGCGAGGGGTAAGGGGGGGAGGGGTGCTGAGAGGTGACAGAGTCACCAGCAGCCAGCATTGACTATGAGAGAGTGTGTGTGTATTCATTGGTTCTGGGTCTCGAACTCAGGGCCTGGACGCTGTCCCTGAGCTCTTTCCCTCAAGGCTGGCGCTCTACCATGTGAGCCACAGCACCACTTCCGGTTGTCTGGTGGTTCATGGGAGATCAGAGTCTCACGGACTTTCTTGCCCAGGCTGGCTTTGAACCGCCATCCTCAGACCTCAGTCTCCGGAGGAGCTGGGATGACCGGCGTGAGCTGCGGGCGCTGGGCAGCTCTTCTTTCTTTGGTTTGTTTCATTCTGTATTTCCATCCCAGGGTCAGAGCCCAAGGGCGTTGTCCGGCCCTGGGCCACTTGGTTATTTTTCAGCCTGGGATCCTCACCTCCCCGCTTCCAGTGTGCAGCCGGGACTACAGGCGTGCGCTACTGTCGGGGTCAGGGTCTCCCTCGGGCCCCGGAGGTGCACGCAGCAGCCCGGGGGGGGGGGGTTACCTGGCTGGGCCTCCTCGGGGGTGAAGGCCGGGTTGTGCAGGCCGAGGCCGAGGCGCGGCGTGAGGAGCCGCGGCTGGCAGGGCGCGTCCTCGGCGGGGTAGTCGCGGGGGTCGCGCTGCTTGGTGAGCTGCAGGAACTCGGGGAGCACGAAGGCGGCCAGGAACAGCCAGCCGTTGGCCACCAGCGCGGCGCCCAGCACGGCGTCGTCCCACTGGGGCCCGGGCTCGGGCCGCAGCAGCAGCGCGATCCAGGCGGCCCAAAGGGCGGCGGCCAGC